GGGTTTTACCGTTTCTTGGACTAGTTTATGAGTGCTTGGAATTTAAGGGTTTTACCGTTTCTTGGACTAGTTTATGAGTGCTTGGAATTTAGGGTTTTACCGTTTCTTGGACTAGTTTATGAGTGCTTGAATTTAGGGGTTTTACCGTTTAGTTTGCGGGCGCTTGGTAGGTTACCACTCTTGAGATAGGTCGAGAGGACACCTGAAGACAACAATCAGCTCGTGATGTTTGTAAAGATGTTTATCGAACATCTTACACCAAACGAGCGATGCAATCACATTTAGCGGCCTAACGAGCACCCGAGAAACCACACTACTTTCCTAAGCGTTGGCTCGAAGCGGCCATAGAATGTTGGTAATGTAGAGAGAATGTTGCCAGTTGGTGTTATTAGACCACATTTAATAGCAGTGGAGTGGAGTCAAAAGCTCAAGAAACATGGTCATGTATAAAGCTGCTATGACTTCCCTTCTCTTCTCTTCTGTTGGTTGGTTGAAACTTAAATGCTCTTCATTCTTCCTTCCATCCCATCTTTTCATAAGTCAGAATAAACAGTCGTTCTACTCTTTGGATAGAAAATATATCTGTATACATCCCACCTGTAGACCTAGCGGCGTTAAGGAGCTGAGACAAGTCGAGTAGTAAGTTGTTCGAGTGTGGCTCAAAATATTAATACCAGGCTTGAGCTTGAATGACTTTTTCAGATGCGGAACCACTTCTTTCGATGTTCATACATTATACCTAAAATTGTAGCTTTATAACTCGTTCATGGGGTATGTTTTGCTTGTTTGATTTAGGGGCTGTTTGGCAATTGGCCAATTGCTGAATGGTTTGGTGCAGAATGATTAAGAGGTTCTCATGATATAATGCAAAATGAAATATAATTGTTTGGTAATTGTGTACAATGAAATTAGGGCTCTTAATGGTTAAGGGAGATCCAGGATACAAAATCATTCAGAGAGTTTTAGAACCATTAAGAGGCAGACTTTTTTTTGTCAAACAAGATTCACCTCTTAACGATTCAAATATTGCCTCTTAATGGAACTATTACTTCTGTTTTGCCTTCTACCTGGTCTTATATGGGTATTGCTATATGCACAACCATTCATGTCAAAATCAGATCAAATCATATATATAAAGTGTAAAAAGTAAGTCTAAATGTTGATGCATTTTAGAAGGAAAGTAGTCATTATTTATTTAAAAATGATAAAAGGAAATGTTACATTTATGATGAAACAGACAGATGAAAAAGGGTTGATGGTGATGTGATATCCTGGGACTACACCTGCAGATGCTTATTGTGGGGAAATAACCAGTTAAAAGTTGTTGTTTCATCCATTAACATGAGTAATAACTACCTTCCACCCATCACCATCATGCTCAGTTCACCACCAACTTTCATTTGAAAATGTTAAAAACCCAATAATAGCTTTGAAGGGTTGTACTGTGTGCATTTAAGACTTGTACTTTTTCCCCATCAAAACTGCTCATCTTCTGTTCCATCATTGTGACTCAACATGGATCACTTGTACTTTTTCTCAATCTACAAGGTTTCCTGGATTTATTAAAAAATTTTAAGATTCATACAGATAAAACCAAACAAACTCAGTAAATTTCGGTTTTAGAGATAAGCAAAGTTTGATTAGGGTTTGTCTTATGGCTTATTTATTAGCAACTTAATAAGACTGGTTTATTTGGTCAGCTATAAATAATGACTGTTTGGTAGTGGTTTAATGATATAGACATTGGATTATTCAGTAAGCTTCTAATATGTAGAAAACCCAGTTTTTTTTTCTTTCTAAACCTACCCCTTCCAATTAAAACATATGCTTATTCCATCTATTAAAAAACTTGTGCATAGACAGTTTTATCCATACATGACTTAATGAAAAATCAACCAAACAAATCTCTTATAAGGTTAATCACTAAAATGATCAAAGGAGTTGGTTGAATGTAACTTTATGAATGCTAAATGCATTCTTATCTACTAATTTTTCATCTCTTGCATATTAACATCAGTATTTATTTTTTATATTTTCAATGAATGATTTAACCTGATTATGATATAAACAGGGGTTTATATAGCAACATGCTTATCAAATCATATTTGTAGTTATTTTGCTAGCTGTCAAATCGAAAAATTTAAACGTTACACTTTATACTCTTTGTATATTTTTATTTTTCCCTTACTTTATTATATTATAAATTTATACATCAATTGAAAATAACAAAAAGAATCTCTCGTTACTGCTTAAAGGAGCAGTAATAGGTAGGGATGACAGGATGTAATATCTCCCGTCAACCCTTTGAGCGAAATGCAAGGCGATTACAGAATTTACGGTCAATGAGGTAGGGACCGCGATTTCTTATGGGCACATCCCAGGTATTTCAGTCTGTCTGGGCTGTGAGAGTTCTCAACCACATAGATAGTTCATTGTGCTTAACTAAAATACGTTTTTTTTAACAAATTACACTATTAGAAAAATCTTGTCAATATCTTTAAAATGAATTCAGTATTAATATTTTTAAATTAAAATTTTTTTTACGAACATGCTTGAAATATACGTTTTAAGGCACGACTTCATATTACAAATAATATTTAGATTGTAATCATACTCATGAATACATTAATTTAAATATTTAATAACATCATAAATGTTATTTTATTTGTAACAACATTATTTATTTTATAAAATTAATAAATAATTTGTTAAAAATTATTGCAATTCTTATAAATTAAAAGTTGATTATTTGTGATATAATCCCTCTAATTTCCATCGTTTTAGTATTTAGCCCTTAACTTATATTAGGTCTATGTATGACTTGTTTAAGAGCATCTTCAACAGCTATGCTAAATGGTATGCTCAAATAATAATAGAAAAAAATAGTGAAAAAGGTAGAAATATTCAAATTTACAGTCATTGATGAAACATGCTTTAATGTGAGGATATTGTTGAAAATATCTGCAATAGTTATTGAATTATTGCGCTCATATTTCTCTTATTCTTGTAAAGATGGACAACTGGATTGATTAAATACCAAATAAGAACTGGACCAAAATCTGTTTCAGGAGGAATGGTTCTTGAATTCTTATCGAACAAATCGTCGATCATCGAAAAAGTAAATTTTGGCAAAAATTAGATGCTATAACAGAGTTTACTGGAAAGTTTTTTTGGAGAACTTATTGGTTATATAAGCATGTGAAAAAGCCCTTCGTGAAAACAAAAACCATTTTTTTGCTTGTGTAGTTACAAGCTTGGTTTTTCATATGTGGGTCCCATTTTCTGGGGAAAAATATTTGAATCGTCACTCGGGTCGGTTCGGTTCGGGTCGGGTCGGGTCGGGTGGGGTGGGGTGGGTTGCTAGACAGACCCGACAACCATATGCTTCGACCCATATTGAATGACGAGCAATTCGTTAAAGATAGAAGTATATCAAACCCATATGAGCTAAGCGAAAAAGCTTCCGTATTGTGAATGCTCTTATGGCTTTACAATTGTCGAGTGAGAAAAGGAAAGCTCAATGTAAAAAATGTGGCGCGTTTTTTAGGACGAAGGAAAATTCAATGTTAAAAGGGCACTTGGAAAAGTCTTGTGTAGCGTTTACGAATTTGACGCCAATTGATCAAAACGGATGGACTTGGAGTTAGGATACTGAGTTAACTCGGAATATGCAAGCGAAGTTCGTGATCCAAGAAATCTTGTCATTAGGTCACTTTGATAACCCAACCAAGACTTACAAGGTGGATCCAAACATCACGTTAACATATACTGATACATAAACCGTATTATCCTTTAAACGTGACACATTTAGGGGGTGTTTGGGATTGCTTATTTGAAACAACTTATATTTTTCTATAAAAGTCCTTATCAACTTATTATAAGTTAGAAGGTTTTAACTTTTTCAAAAATTTCTTATTACTGGTTTGACACCGGTATAAGCTGTTTATTCAAACATTTAAAAGTGTTTATTATCGGTGTCACACCAGAATAAGTCATTTTTATAAGCAATCCCAAACACCCCCTTAGTATTATTGAATATTTTGCACAAATAAATTGGCAAAAAGTATTTTTTTTTAACTTAGTAAATTGTGTCGTTCTAATAGTAACAACTGAAGCGCTCCACATAATTTATCATACTCATATTTTTGTCTACGGCTCATTGGATTGATCTGTCAACGTGAACTATGATATAACCTATAATTGCGTTATAACTGTTCGGTTTTGTACTGGATTATATAAAATGCTAAAAAGATATTGTTGACTTTTATGATCTGACAGATGAAATATTTAGCATTTCATTTGACAATACTTCAAATAATACGATATTTTAGTTGTGAAAATAGGCTATAAGCAAATTTAACCCTAAATAAAAGCAAGAAAAGCCGAGTCAAATAACGACTTGTTCAAAACCTACCTCTGCAAATACAGATGTAACGGTTGTTGAGTAGATGATGTTTTATACATGAAATAAAACTAATCAAATATTTCAAAGAGTCGTGCCTTCGAGTTTCGTGTGCACCGCCACCTTAAAACAAACCATAAACATTTCAGCAGTAGAAGTTTTGATAAATGACGTTATTTAAATACTATTTTTATGTAACAAAACTTACATACGCACTTCTCAAATTTGGTGATGCTTGAACCATGGACACTCGAGAAAGTTAGGCTCTCAGTGACGGACCTACAGTAGAGCATACGGTGGCACGTGCCATCGTATTATTCCTCCGTCGAAGGGTAAAAAAATTTAGGTTCGTGAAAGTGCAACCGTATTAGTTTGTTGTGTGTCACCATATGTATCTTAAAACTACAATGAGAACAAGTTTTATTTGGTAGAGTTGGTTTGCAAGACTTTTATTCCACCCCAGACCCAATTTCGAATCCTGTTAGTGTCATTTTCTTAGTCAAATGGTGCCACCGTTTGAAAAAAATTATGTACATTTGTTTTTTATAGTCAAATGATGCCACCGTTTGAAAAAATTTCCTTGTACTCAAACGGTGTCACCGTTTGTAAAAATTTCTGGGTCTGTTCCTGTTGGCTCTACAGTTAACCTTAATATTGTTGGTTCAATGACCATTTGATTTATATGATATTGCAAACGTTTTAGGTCTATTTGAATAACTATGACCAAGTACAATATATACGATCACTCGGTGTTGAAATTCCTTATGTCGATAATGATTTAACCAATACAGAAGTCGATATTCAGCAACACCACCAACGAAATACCATGACTCATCGATGACTGTCACCATTTCACATGGTCCCTCTAACTAACATCATTTAAGAAAACTTTGTTAACTCGGTTAAATCGAAGGGTATTTTGGTCTTTTTACATATAAAAACAAAACCCAAGAACCAATTGGTTCTTCCGGTATCATAAATTCATTAATACTAAACCACCACGTCCAACAAAGTCATTGTTACCACCGCCGCCGCAGCCACCACCACGATCAATCATATCAACGTTCTACGATAACCATTCAGATTCGCTACACAAAAAAGCAAGACAACTTAGAGAAACCGAGTCGAAAATTGACCAAAAAGGGTTCATGTTTCTTGACCATTTGATTTGGTTTCTGCTTGTTTCACAGCCATTGCAGCATGCTTCTGACCAGCAAGATGAGAAATAAACACAGTGGGGCTGTTACAAACCACATTGCACACAGTACAAGTCCTTACAGCACCAGATGCTGCTCCACCTTTTAATACCTTTTGTTTCTTTGTCTCCAAATCCTCATCATTTCCCACCCTCTTCGCCTTCCTGTTACCACCATCCACATTGACAACTTTGCCCTCTTCTTTCCATGAATCTTGCAAGGTAGCAGGGGCAGGGTTTGGTCCAATTGGTTTTTCTGATATCTCCAACTTCTTTTGGTGTTTCTTTCCCCATATGTGGTTTCGGAGCCCATCATAAGTGTTGCAATCGATCCCACAAAGTTCACACCACGCAGGTTTACCTTCGTGCGAAATGACGGATTTGCCCTCCGTCGACTCTAGGTTTTCCATAGGTTTGGTGGGAGGTGTGCCAAGTGAAGCGATAGGGGTCAAGGACGGATCGGGTATTTGATCTGATTCTAGAAGTTTCTTCAGGTGTTTCTTTCCCGTTAAGTGTACGCTGAGGCCTTCATTGCTGGTACAGCTGATATTGCAGAGTTCACACCTGGCAGGTTGAAGGGTGTCAGGTTTCATCTGTGAACCGCCATTGGAAGGCTGAGCCTCGGGAACGCACTCTGATGTAGGGTTAGAGATCTCGTTCACATCAGCAAGCCGAGCGGCCGCCTGCACATCAACAACATACAAGATGGACTATTTAGGCCATCGACCTTGACCGATATTTCTATTTACAACACAACCTTCTAACAAGTTTAGTGGCATTCTGATAAAACCTGTCAGATGGTCTTAGATTTTTTAATAAAAAATGAGGTCATTGAATCGACGGACCCATATAAGAGTAGGTGCTCAGAATTTTTAAGTGACATACCAAAGGGTCATTTGCCTAGCAGTATCCTAGTTACCTAGTAGATCCCAACTTTCTTGGAGGTCAGGGGTTCAAGTGTCACCAACGGTGAGGAGTGTGAGTGAGTTTTGTCATGTGTGTGTGTGTATATATATATATTATATGCTTCAAAATTAGTTTGGAGTGGATTGGTTATTTGTTAAATAACCATAAGGATGATAATGGGGAAATGGATAATCTTTAACTTCAAAACATGGCAAAAAGAGAAATGTTGGAATTTTCTTATTTGGCAGAAAACCCTCAAGAAAATTCCGACATTTCTTGAAACGTGCCTAAAATACCATCTGTTCCAAAACAAATGTTTAGTTTGTCCTGTAATAAGTGTCCATTTTCAAAAGTAAGCGGCTACTTTCCAATTCTATCCTCAATTACAAGATGAAGAAATTCAATGCTCCCTATATTATCAAGGGTAAATTTGTCATTTAGTTAGTTAAAAAGTGTAATAATTACACATTTCTAAAACTGTATGACTTTTTCACGTTGGACATTTATTTTGGGATGAAGAGAGTACGATATCAAGAAAACGATCCAAATGAGCATCAGAAAAAGCAACACAAACATAGAATTGCAGCAAATTTCATCAATCAAAATCGAATTAAAGCTAAAGATTCTAACTTTATTCAGTTTACCTTTGCAGAATGCTTTTTACCGTCAAGATGCTTCCTAAATACGTCTTGGTTATTGCAGACCACGTTGCAAATATCGCAATATATCAACGTATCAACCGAGGCTCCATTTTGCAATAACTTATGCTTCTTATTCTCCAACACTCCGACTAAAGGTGCACTTGGAGCCACTGGTGGCATTTGTGGTGCAATGAGAGCCGTAATCGCTAACTTTTGCAGATTCTTTAAGTGTTTTTTTCCTTTTTTGTGTATCTCGAGCACATCCCCACTAGTACAAGTAATATTACATACCTCACATTGCATTGGTTGGCTGCTGCTTTCGGCCTGCCATGATGTTATTATAACATCGTTCACCACATGCTGAGTCCAAACACCGGAGTTACCAGCGGACTGCATGACTGTGGACACGTTCTTGGTCTCGCTCAAAGTCCCACCACCCTGAATTTGACCAAAATGAAATTAATATCGAAAACCAAGAGGCAAAGAATGATAGCAGATCTGATTAAGTCACTCCACTATTTATGTTCTTAACAAGATTGAAAATTCGGTTCACGCTTTGAATTTGAAATCCAAAACGAATTGCCCCAAACGGTAAGGGCAGAATTTATTAAAACTCCAATATCAACTGAACAATTCTTAGGCTTCCATTTATCGTAGCAACTACCCTGTTCCTTGCCCCCACAGACCCACACCAATCCATTATAGCATGAAGAATCTTTACTAGTTTCTGATCACACCCAAGGGTCAATGTGGGACATCACTAAGGTGTGTTTGGTATGTAGGACAGAACAAAACTTGTCCGACATTTGTGCGACATTAAGACCAGGACAAGACAAGACTGAGTGGAACAAAAATGCTTTTTTTTGTTCCCCCAAAGGGAAAAAAGACAAGATTAGTAATAACTATAACTACTCATGTCAAATTAACACCCAAAAACCTTAGCACAATTTTTTCACCCATCCAGACACGGACCCAAAAAAATAAAAAAATCAAATGGTGACACCATTTGATCATAAAAGAAAAAGATATAAATTATGATGATTCAGTTTTCTAGTTGCTTGTATTTCCAAAGAAAAAGGGCCCGGGTTCGATTCTTGCATATCTGCCTTCGTCCAAATATATTTTTTAAAACAAAAGTTATAAGAAAGAAAACCAAATTAAAAGCCAAAAACAAGTATTTTGACACCAGCAGGATTCAAACCCTGCTCTCTACTCAAAGCAAGACGTTAATCATGCTCCACAAACCAACTCAACTAGCTTAATTTCTGTCATAGTCTTAGTTTTAAAAGATACAGGAGCACAAAATGAAACATTACAGTGACACCCTTCAGGAATGTAAATAGTTTTCCACTACAACGGAGCCATGAAAAGCCGGTGGCCCGTGCCACCCTGCACCTGCCTACCTCCCTCTCGCCTACCCAATCTTGTCCGTATGTGTATGCGTATCAAAACCAAACGCACCCTAAAATTCTAACTTCTAAAGTTGGAAGAACAATACACCCTTCAAACATTATTCATGAAGTTACAATTATTTCATCAAAAACTAGAAGAAAAAATCAAGGACTGTATTATATGGCAAAATACTTCAATTTATCTTAATAGTCACAGTGCATGCATCTGAAAACTCATTTGATCTTACTAAGTCAAAATCATGTCTTTCCACATTATATATACATACATTCTTAATATATATATATATATATATATATCATATATATATATATATATTGTTTATATGAATCATGATTAGTCTTGAATTTATCTGATGGAATGTGTAGGTGTATATATATATATATATATATATATATATATATATCTGATGGAATATGTAAACAATTAAACATCAAAATTTCAACAAAAACCTCATGCAGATAAGAAACCAAATAAAAAGAAATTAATAACTAGATAAAGGTTTACATGTTCGCACGTAGTTGAATCAGTAGTCTGCGATACGATCCCGCTCAGCGAATCTACTGCTCTGTCGGGCTCAAAATGCGTGCAACCCATCAATTACACTCAAATGTGGATTCGATGAGGCATACGAGTCGGTTATTGGGGAAGGAACATGGGTTCGAAGGTAACAACACTTTGAAATGGGAGAGGGTTAGGGTTTGAAGTCGGATAAGAAGTGAAATTGGGGATAATTGCCTGCTGTTTTGGGGTTCAAGACCAAACCAGGTTTACAAATTAGGGTTTTAGATTGTGTAGATCAGCATTGCCTATGAATGACGAAATCACAACTAATTTCCCCTTTTCTTTTAGGGTCTTTTTCATATTCGAAACCAGCCTTTGTCATCGAATAAACGGCCCGAGTCGAGTGAGTCTGACCCGTTCCATACACCATTGAAGAGTACGTTACATTTTTGGTCCATGTGCTTTTTAGTTTGTGTCCATTTTGGTCCCCTATGTTCTTTTTATTAACGGAGTTACCGGTATGCAAAAACGCTCAGAACTAGTCCATCTCTTTAACACTGTTAGAAATCTTTCCGTTATGTGATGGGCATTTTCGTCGTTTCCGTTTCCTCTTGGTTTCTTGTAGAAAAATTTCTAAAGAACGTGAGAAAAGACTAAAATGTCCCTCACTTAACAGATAGAGTTAATAACCGTTAAAGGTAGGGACCAATTTCAAACGCTTTTACAAACTAGGCCAAAAAACAGTAAAACCTCATAGTCTTGACAAGATTCACCTCTTAACAGTTTGTCTTTTAATTGTTCTAAAACACTTTGAATGATTTTGTTTCATGGGTCTCCTTTAACCATTCAGTGCCCTAATTTCATATAAACAATTACCAAACAATTATATTTCATTTTGCATTATATCATGAGAGTCTCTTAATCATTCTGTACCAAATTATTCAACAACTGTCAAACAACTCATATATGATCAGATATACAAACATCTATATCTTATTTTCTTTAAAAAATTACCAAACTTATTTTCCTATTTTTATTAAATAAATCTTGCCACTTTTTTTTATTGTAAAAGTAACAAAATACGAAAATATTTACAAAGAAGATGCCTATTGTCGAGATTTTTATGTTAGGCTACCAAACAATATTTCGGGTAGATTATTAAATTCCCATTTTACCCCTTAAACCACTTTCCATTTCCCCATTTATATCTACATCCAATAAAAAAATACCCATAAAAATAACTATCGAAAATAGCCATATTTTGGAATATAATCAACCAAATTAAGGCCCTGTTTGTTTTTCAAAAAAAAAACACTTAATTGCCTCTTATGTCTGAATCGGTCAGACATTGAGGYATTAAGTGCGTTTGTTTTTTTTTTTAAATTAAGTGCTTAATTTATCTGAATAGGTCTGATTCATTTAGAGGCAATCCAAAGTCTGAAAACCTCTTATTTCGCGTCGCCTTCGCCTACTGCTCTCGCTCCCTCTCCATCGCTCAACAGGATTGCTCTCTCCGTCGCCTACTGYTGTCGCTCAACCTCTCCATCGCTCAACAGGATTCGCTCATCTCCATCGCTTCATGTACTGCTCTCGATCTCTCTCTCAATCGCTCAACAGGATTCGTCAATATCTCCATCGCGTCGCCTACTACCTCTCGATCTCTCGATTTAAGGTATCAATCTCGATCTCTCAAGCTCTCTATCTCTCGATTTTATTTCTCTTGCTTGGTTAATTTCTGTAATGCGGGTTTAGGGTTTACCTTCTATAAGGGTTTTTGTATGTGAACCCCACGGTCCTATAAGGGGTTTTTTTTATTTGGTCTGTTAATCCTACAGAGTATCGTGTGTGTGAGCATTGTGTGTTTATAAACCAGGTGGGATTTCATGTTTTGATCCAGAAAATAAGCTGCATAAAGAAAAGTCTGGTTTTTGTGGGATTTCATGTTTTGATCCAGAAAACAGAGTCTGGTTTTTGTGTGTTTATTTCAGGAAATGGAGCAACCATCACCCCCATCTTTTTGCATTAATGCCCTTCCCTGTTTTTTCAACTTTCATGTTAATATTATTTTTTGACAGCCACATTCTTGTTGCTATTTCGTGCTTTTCAAACCATGGCTTATCTTATTCATTAGAAGATGCATTTGGGCATTGTTGGATACATGTTGATGGTTTAGAATGTAAGGTTGTGCATAAATACTTGGAACAATTGGATAAAGTCTCTTAGCTGCTTTACTTGTTTCTAAGGTCTGAACTTGTTTCTCTTGCTGCCATATTGTTGCTGCTGAGTTGTAAACAAATGTCAGGGTTATCTATTGGCTTGACAAACCAGTGACGTTTTAGTAACTACCTGCAAGTTTTTTGTATCTCTTTCTAATGCTTTCAGAAAGCTCTAAATGTCACCCTACTCTATTTTTGTTGACTCTGCCAATCTTGTCTATCATCATGGATTTCAATACTTGTCATCTTCATCCTCTTGGTCTGGATGGTTTGCGTTTATAAGTGAACATATATTTTCTACATGAGGAAACCGGCCTGATTGATTATCATTGCTTTAGGGAAAAACTATAATTTTGATGACATATTTTGGATGAAAAAACATTTATGAAAGAGGGAATGAATTATGTTGATGGATTGTTAAATTTATGCATTCAGCCATCCTTGCAGGTAGATTGAGGGAGTGTAGTTGCTGTATTTCTATTTTAATCGTAATGATTGGTAATAAGATCTGTATATACATAGAGATGTATGTCAACTATAAACATATTTTGTTGGTATTTAAGAAATCTGTACATCTCTAGTCCTTTTATGAAATTGATAGTTTCATTGTGCTTTAAGAATGTGTTATTTCAACGGTCTTTTGAGTACACTTTTGATTTGCTAAATCATAGGTTGTCCATGAGCATGCTCTGCTTCGTGTTCTGTCKTCTTCTTATCATTCTCAGATGATTTGTCATTTATTTTATTTAACGGTTATTTGAACTTTTGAATGGCATCTAACAGATAGTTTTATTTCCTCCAAACTGTTCTTCCCATAGCAGTGGCTTCARCACTATCTTCTGATTCATGTATAATCAATGGTGAGTTTTTTTTAGTAATTGGTTTTCTGGTGAATGGATCTATATGAGAGATGGTCTTGTTAACCATATGCTTTCACATATCTCACGAACCAGGACATAGATTCTGCTCCTGAACTACTACAGGCTACAACTTCTTGTTTCCTGCTTTGCCATGTGACAAGGTTCCCACAAACATACATGGATCTTCCATTCCTAGCACTGCCAAACCCAGTATGTAGAGGTTCAAAGAATGGCACCATTTACATTTGAGGATGAGGCTGAAGAGATTCAATCGCATGGGARTGCCGCTGACCAAACATATATGGCTAGTTTAAGAGAAGAAATTGCGACACAATTACAAAATGAATATTGATTCTAGTTGTTATGAGACTTTTATTCGTGTTTTCTATTGTGTTTTGAATCAATTGACGTATTTCAATTGAATTTTTGAATGTATTAAAAGTATATGGTAGTTTACAAATGGTTTAAATGATTGGATATTTCGGTTAAATTTAATTGAAATGAATTGATTCAGATTTCAAACTTTAGAAATTTGTCAATTTACAAAAACAAACAGTTTTATTGATTCAGATTTCAGATTTCAGACGTAAAAACAAACAGTCTAACTGATTTAGATTTCAGATTTCAGACGTAAAAACAAACAGTCTGACTGATTCAGATTTCAGATTTCAGACGTAAAAACAAACAGTCTGACTGATTCAGATTTCAGACTTCAGCACCACCTCTTAAAATTCAGAAGTGAATTCAGATTTCAGACTTCAGCACCACCTCTTAAAATTCAGAAGTGAATTCAGACTTCGGACTTCAGACTTCAGACTTCAGACTTCAGACTTCAGACTTCAGACTTCAGCACCTCTTAAAAAAACAAACGCGACCTAAGCATCCATTTGGGAGCAATATTTACAATGTGTTGAGTTTACGTGAGATTAATAATTTTTCGTGAGACCTGTAAGACCAATTTATATTCATTGATCAACTTTATAAGCTATAATCTAATGGTCTAAAGTTGTACGGTGACAATTTTGTGATTAGTGAGAAGTCTCGTGGCAATTTTGTGATTTTAAATGTTTTAATTGTAGATCTAATCCAAGGGTTGAGAACACATAATCCCAAGTCTATTTACAATTGTAGCATCTTATTCACCAAGAAAAACTTGAATAAAAGGTTAATTACCGACAATTTCAATCGATTTCACGTAAAACACGCTCTCTAAGAACTATATGTGAGGAAGCATTTTTGAGCTGACTCGGCCCCTGCACAGGGGTTCAAGTTCGTCTTTCACATAGTTCGAACTTGAACCTGTTGTGTAATGTAACAAAGTCGTTTCACTCATTTACCAACTAAGCAAAAGGTCTTCGATAGCACATAAAATGATGGGAAAAGGGTATTTTCAAAAACAAAAAACACCATACACATCAACTTGAGATTGTAAATACATTTTAGACACACAAAGAAATACAAGAAATCTTGGAGTTTTCAACTTGATGATCCCAATGAAGTTTATGAGCACAAGAATGTAAAAAATGAATTGAATCATGTACAATCTTGAAGTAATGTATATGCTATTATTAGCTTGTTGATAGCAAACCCAAGAGTCTTGATTCATGGTTATGGTGATCACTACAATCTTCCCAATAGTAAGACTTGTACTTTATGGTACAACTACTCTTCATGATCATCTCCTCCTCTTCTTCTTCTTCTTGAGGAGGCATATTGAGATCAAGAAACGTTCGGGTTTCGCGAATTGGCTGCTCATCAGGTTTCTTGATCACATTCGTGTAGTTCTCTTGATTCGGTTTGGATTCAGCAATCACATGTGATCGTTTGTGACCCCCTAAAGCTTGCCCTGATGAGAACATCTTTAAGCAAACCGAACACTCATGACCAAGATTGAAATTTGATGGTTCTTGATGATCACCAGATGTTTTCTGATCATACCCATTGATTGTTTGATCATGATCTAACACGGGTTCGTGTTCGATTGTGTTTTCGTTCAGGGGTCTTGAGTCGAAACAAATCTTTAGCTTCTTGTGACTTGCTTTATGCCCACCAAGTGCTTGATAAGAGTGAAAACTCTTGTTACAACTAAAGCACTCGAACTTTCTCTTGTTTGAGTCCTTAATTTCAGCAAAACATGAAGTGAATTCATCGTTTTTGGTTGAAATTCTCTCAAATCCTTCATAATCCACCTCAGATCTTCCAAGAAAATCAATACCCACTTGGGTTTCTGCTGATTTCTTCATCTTGAAACCATTTTCAAACAGATTTTTACCCAAAACAGAGGAAGAACAGTAATCAGATGATCCAAATTGATTACCCCATTTTCTCACATCTTTAGACAGCATCATCAAAGACATAGCAACATCTGCTTCTTGTTCTTGATCTATCTCAGATACCACACTTGTTGAAGCATTGTTGCTACTAATTTGATTATTGTTGTTCATAGAGATTGAAGATGAAGCTGTTGTGATTGCAGTTTTTTTAGCAGGAGAATACCTTTTGTTTCGTCTGTTTCTTGATCTTGATCTCTTTATTCTATGGATTTTGGCATCTGAATTCTCGTTATCTGATTGGCTAGTCAAAGAATTATGATTCAGACTTGCTGAATTGTTGTTCTTGTTGTTCGATACTTTCTTGGAGTGACATTTCATGTGCCCAAAAAGAGCTTTCCAAGATTGAAACCCTTTTCCACATTCCTTACAGAGCTTATCAAGAACACTCGAACTACTGACTTGATTCGAACTTCTTGAATCTTTGGATTTGATCGTCTTTTTGGGATCTTTTCGCAATTCATAACACGAATCATTTGAATTCGAAGAACCATTGATGGGAATTACGTTGTTGTTATTGTTGTTGTTCATCAATCCGCCATTGTTGATGAAAGATGAGAGCTTCTGATGATGATGGTGGTCAGGAGAGTTGATCACGTGAGACCTTATGTGACCTCCTAACGATCTCCCACATGGGAAACTCTTGTTGCAGAATTTGCAGATATGTTTCATCGATTCTTGATCAAATTCTTCCATCAAATCGACAAATTCCTATTGGATCATACAAAATTTCAAGATCAAGAAACGAAAAACCGCAAATCGAAGAACACCCAGATCAAGAAACAAGATCAAAAGGTGAACCCATGAAACGGGTATTCCGAATCATCCAAGATTGAAGTGAAAAACGAAGAACCCATCTCAGATTTCATCGAATTATTCAAGATTGAAGTGAAAAACGAAGAACCCCTGTCAGATTTCATGGAATTCGTGCAGCAAGAGCAAGATCTAAAAGCAGAATTGAAGCTGGTCTGAAGTAGAAGCTATTTAGTTAGTTGAGATTCGAAGTTAGAAAGGAAAAGGGAGATGATGACGATGATGGGTCGGTTACCTTTATTGCAAATGATGGCGATGAACAAGCAAAAGAGAAAGAAGTGAATCACACTCTGTTTTCTTTCTCTCTCTAAACCTTTCATGGGGTTTTCTCTCTCTAGAAATATATGTATGTATAGAGAGAGAGAGAGAAAGTGAGGACTAAATAATTTGGAGGAAGATGGAGGAGAAATCCATGCATGGAAGCCAGGATAAAAGGAAAGATGGCCGCACGTGTACTCAGGTAAGAATCCTACGCCAGCAGTGAATCAACGGTGGAGATTGTTCCACATCGGTTATCCCTATGGTTCCACCCCTGTGCCTAACTATTCTTTGCCTTGGAAGTACAAACCAAAATATTATATGTTTCTTTTTCTTTTCTTCTACTTCTAAATTTGAGGAAGGTTTCTCTTTTCTTTTTCCCTTTTTTTATTTATAGAAAAAATTAGAGCAAATTAAATGAAAAAACAACTTATTTTAACTTGATTTTTATTTTAGGTACCTTATCTTCAAAACTTTCATTTTGATATTTAAGATGTAAAGTTTTAACCATTTAAGTACTCGGATAACTGGTTGAAACATTAACCGCTTATGATGCTTATGTGGTGAGTGATGTGGTATCTAATTCAGTATTATTTGTTGACGTGGTTAGTGACATGAATTTTTTTTAATCTAAAATTAGACTTCAACCGGTTACCCAGGTACTTAAATGTTTAAAACTTTACATTTTAGGTAGCAAAATGGAAGTTTTCAAAGTACGTTACCAAAATAGGATTCAAGTTAAAGTACGTTACTTTTTCATGCAATTTGCCCAAAAAATTAACATGGTTGTTGAAAAGTATTTTTTTTTAATCTTTGAAATTTATAAAATGACATAACTATTGGAGATGTTTTTAACAGATTTTTCAAAGTAAAGATTATGGGATTTTTTTTTCTCGAACAGATTCTTCTAAAACGTTATCCATAATAGAGAAAGTAGGAGAGAGATGGTGAAGTTCGGAGAACTCTCTCCAAAATTTGATTTCCAATAAAATGAAATTTATTTTTATTCTTCCTACCAATGAAAATTCTTAAAATTAAATGTATATTAGAGGGAAGTATTATTTTATGAAAAATATTGAATATTTTAATAATATAATTTATTTTGTCATATTCGAAATGGAAAATTTGTTGGCGATGAATGTAAATTTTCTTTAGAGATTTTGACTTTTGATTCTATTTTTTGAAAAATCTGTTGGAGATGCTCTAGTCTACCTAGGTGGTACTGTATGCTCACTAGACAATATATGTCCTTGTTAACCGACTTTAATCTTACCTATATGTACTAAACTAGAAGGGTACTCGCGTAATGCAGCGAGATACATCGTGATTTTAATATTTCATTTTATTTTTTATCTCAGTCGATGTTATAATATGGMTTTATATGATTTTGAGATTGCGATGATGTTTTTATTTTTAAATAAAATATATGTTTGAAGATTTCATAAAAATTTGACAAAAGTATATCGATATTAGTATCAAATTAACTATTTGAAATTCCTCATTTTTTGTGTAATT